TGCAAATAATGCTGAAATGGATATAAATGGAGAAAACATCATCTTGGAAAGCAGAGCCTTGTTCCAGCAAGACAATTAGGCACATCCCTTGGTCTAAACATGCTGCTCAACCTTACTCAAGTGAAATGTGATGTGTCACTGATTTGCTGAACACTTAGATTCTCTGTAAGTTTTGCAAGAGTCTGGAATCATCCACAGATCCAAGTGGATCTCTGTGGGATCAGCCGCCTTCTGCTGCAACCCATCCACAGGTGAAAATCATACCCTGTCTTCCACAGAGGTTTACATATTCCTAGCATGATTTCCCAGCACTTTCCCAGGCTGGTTGACATTGCAGGTGATAAATTAGCAAAATGCCTGTATTTTTCACTAGGGAAAAAAAAGCCTCCTTTAATAAAAGTGTGCGTTTATACAACAGAACCTCATTGCCCTGAAAGATGTGTTTGCATCCAGTGACTGCAGCATTGTCTGGTGACATCAGTCCGTGGGGTGACTCTTCCCATGCTATGTTTTTCAGCCTAGCTGGCAAAGGAGGAGTCTTGGGCTTTTACCATCTGAGCTCTCAAACTAAGGCAGAAAGTCCTTGCTGTGCTCTAAAAATGGGCTTATGGGTCATTAAAAATATTATGCTATTTTGAAACGGATCAAACTTTGTCCTAGTTACTCTCTGGTTACTCTGAAAACAGGCAAATGCTTAGTGCAACCCTTCTCCTTTGTTTCATAAAAATAATTTGCTTTTTGTAAAGGTCACAGAGCAAATTAGGGTGAGTGAGTGTATGGCACCCAGAAGAAATTGCCTCCAGTCAGCTATCAAAGCTGGGTTACTGTCACACACGTACATCCCCGGGAGCTCGTGCGGGGACTTGTAATGCATCAAGCGCAGGATTTAGCCCTGGGCAGAAGGTCAGCATAAGGCTATGCATCATTTAAGGCTCTCTCACTGAACGTGCTAAGTGGTGCATAGACCTCACAACTGCTGCTAGTTGCTGGATGAATGGCTGAGGGAGCTGCAGTAAGAGTAAGGGACCCTGCTTTTCCCAAAATAAAGATTGTTAGTCTAAGTCCTGATTGGCACGGTGAAATCCAGCCAGCTCCATGAAGGCTTCTAGTAGGTTACACCGATGTATTCCTGAAATTCTTTGTGCTTGGCAGTTGCAGATGCCCGCTTTGCCTTTGAATCAGCTCGTCCTGGCATATGAACTGGCATGGACATAGCCACCTAACTGCCTAACGTGACCTCAAGCTTCCTGAAAAACTTGTAGAAAAACTTCTGTCTGATCTGCTTTCTTCCCAAGGTAGTTGTGTGCCCGTGTCTCTGAAGCATGCTAATAATGATCTCAGCCTGGGAATTTCACAGCGGTAGGCATCGCTGCTGTTCCAGAGCCAGCTAAGGCACTGTAGCTTCACGTAAGTGGTAGTAGCTGTCGTCGTTAAAAAGTTTCACATTGGACTTTGGCATTTGAGATGTGTCTGTTGTAACAGACAGGTTTGGTGGCCAGTAATCATCCAAGATCTTGTTTCTGTCAGCAATCTTCTATGCAAGAAGCTCCCAAACCACTTGTGTTACCAGCATAATCATTCGCCTCCTTGCTTCATCTGCCAAAGGGAAAAGGGGCTGAGTTGGCCACGCTCTCGCTGAAGTGGCTATGCTGCCAGCTGGGTGTCTCGGGGCTGACGGGAAGAAAGTGCACTCTACATCTTACCACCACTCCAAAAAAAGCAAAGGATGGTACCAAGCCTGGCAGCAGTAGCTGCCCTACTCAGTTCCCTGTTGCCAGCCTCCTGGGGTGCAGAGAAGTGGGGTGCTCGCCAGGAGCACGTGGGAGTGCAGATTGCATTGGGCAGAGGTGTTAACACTGCAGTGCAGCTGGGGTAGAAGAGTTCACCCCAGCTTCAGAGGAGGTAGCTTGAGATCTCAAAACAAGACCCCAAATGACTACCAAGTGAGGCCTTTTACCTGCCATACTTGCTTACCAAAGTATACGGCTACTTTTTTACATGGCAGTCGTCTTCACTTGTTTCTAAGCAATTCACTGCAGCTCCCTGGGTGATGTCCGTCACGGGCTGTGTCATTTATCCATCATTTCCACAGGTATCAAGAGCCTGCTTTGCACCTTGGCTCATGACAGAGCTGTGATTGCATCTGTACCTCCAGTTTGGGGAGGTGCAAGTGTTGTCCCACTCGGGCACGAGAAGGTCTGGCTCTGCCTTCCCAATCACTGCTGCGTTTCCCAGACCACCAGCCTCAGGCAGCGAGCAGGGCTGGGGCCCCGGGGAGGTACCTGTGCACGTGTGCCACTTGAGGGGGCCTCGGTGGCTCTGCTTAGTGGGTGCTACTGATGGCTACTGCCTGGCGTTTCCCCTCCCCAGGTCTGGGATCCTCTGACTCCGTGGGGGTGTCACAAATCCCAGCAGAGGTGTGAGCAGGGTGGAGGGAGGGTTGTGTGGCTGTGTGTCGGCCGTGCCCTGGGTGTAGGAGGTGCAGGTAGGATACAGAAAGGGGTGGTGAACGTGTGTGTGGTGTTAAAGCCAGCTCAGGAGGCTTTCTGACCTGCTGGCTAGGCACCCTTGGAGAGCACAGTGCAGGATTGCAGAGCAGTGGTGGGCGTAGGAGAGGGCTTTACCCAGCCAGGCTTCCCTGCTTCGTCCTCTCGAAGACACTGTCTCCCAGGAGCACCTCAGTCTAGACACCTTATGGCAGCCCTGCGCTGAGGGAATTTGCTAACTCATAGCTGTCCAGGCCTGGCTCCTGCGGCAGTCTCAGCGCTTCGGGATGCAGCTGCGCCCTGCCATGCATCCTTTGTGCAGGATCCCATCTGATCCTTTGTGCAGGATCGATAGAGATTATTGCTCTACAACATCCCCTCTGCCCTGCCTGTCCAATATGTACGCGTTGCTTCAATGTTTTGTTTCTCGTTTTCCCCTCATTAGCTGGAGAAGATGCAGAGCTCTGCGCAAGCCTGTCTCGGAGAGAAGGAGAGGATGCCTGGTGCATGCTGAAAGCGATGGTGCCTTTCCCGGCCTCCTCAGAGCCGTGATGATGTTCGTTGGCCGCTTGTCGTGTGGCGGAGGTAGTTCAGCATGAATAGAGCAAGCAGAACTCGTGTCACAGCAGCAGCCATGCTGAATGTGATAAGTGCAAGGGAGACCGCAGCTTGAAGAGAGATGTCTGTCTTTGCCAGTGCCGTTTGCGGAGGGCAGATAAGCTTCCTGGAAGCTCAGGCTTTCTGGAGAACGTGCAGAGGGATCAAGCCTGACTGTAGGGTCTGTTCAGTGCTTGGCTCATGGTGTCGTTGGTGGCACTGTGATATGTTTGTAATGTAAACAGCTGGGGTGAACAGAGCTTCAGAAAGGATCCGCACAGCTATCGCTGCTGATCAAATTAATCCCTAGAGGGCTGCTGATAAGCAACCTAACACGGTCAATGCAGGGATGCTCCATTCCAGGGAAATAACAACAAGTTAAAGCTTCTCATCAAGCCTCTGTTTTCTTTTCTTGGTAGTTTCTCTTTTTCCATGCAGTAAAGTAACTTGGTTCAAATACCCTCAGAATGGCAGCACCGTGTGACATGTGTGTATTTTAGTGGGGGGAATCAGGGCCCGGGTTGCAGCCCCTGCTTTTCATGGGCAGTGCTTGGATAGGTAAGGCTCCTGGGACCCAAGAGAGCACAAGAGCAGGGCTGGCAAATTGGCTTTCTCAGGGTCTGGTTAGGCAGCCTGTGTTTGCACAGATGATGCAATGGGTCACGGCTGCATTTCGTTCTCTGGAATGAAGTGTATTTATTGTGCAAGCTCATTTAAGGAAAAAGCTGTCTTTATTAGTTGGTCTGTGGAAAGCAGTCAGCATTTCTGTGACCTGTTCTTCTGTAGCTAAGGAAGAACAGGCTTAAGCAAGTGCTCACCAAAGGTATGTTGCATAATCAGTGACATGTAATTTATTTTTCTGTAGGAGCTTAAATACATTAGACATCAGCTGTCAGTCTGTACACAGGCGCAACATGAAATATGCTGCTTTAATTTACTTAATTTTAACCAAAAATAAGTTGAAGAACACTTTATCTTTTCCTTATACTCTAATAAAAAGTGAACAGTATGTCCTGTACGCGCTCTGCATGAATCGGGCCATTTCCTTGCTGCTGTCTGACAGCTCAGTAAGTATGAATGCAAATTTTGATCTCCTTCACCTTTCCACTTTGAATCACCATGTGGAAAAGAGACGTGGATTCCGCCCCTCTTTAGAGTCATGGAAATGAGCTGTTAAGAAATGGGGAAAGAGAACTGTATCCTGGCAATTTCTGAATGAGCAGCTTGAGAATTGACGTAATTGCAAGGCACCAGGAGAGGGCCGACAGAAAGGAGGAGTCAAGTTAGAAAATGAGTAAAAAACAAGAGTGTGTTTAGGAAATTCTTATTCCTTTCCATTTTGGCCAGATGATGTTTTGCCATTGCCAGGTTCAACTTCCTTCAAAGCAGATAACTAATTTATGCTGGAAAGGCCAATTAAAACAATTGATTACCAGTAGTGTGCAGCCATCTTATAAGATAATTTCTGGCTCTCCAATGCAGCAGGTAATCTAATAAACAGAACATGGAAGTTTCATCACATGGAAATAAATATGAAAGACAGTTTTGTCTGCAGATAGCATGTGTGAAAGAAGCAGAGATAACAGCGCTGAAATTAGTTCAGAGACCTGCTTAATTTAATATAATGCCTTTTCTCCTGATATCTCCAACGAACTGGGAAATCAACATACCCTGCTCTTAATACTTTGTATTTTGCCCCCGTGTGGTGCAAACAGCCTGGCTTTCCTGGTGTTTGGGTCATGGAAGCAAGGACATCCCCTAGGAGACCATGGCCCCTTTGGACTTGCACCTGTGTCTGGAGACACTCTCCCTAAATTTGTCAATATCTGCTGAAAAAACCCACCTCCTTACAGATGCTGATGTTTTGAAGGGACAACACAATATCTTCTCCTCTCTACGGGTTGTCACTCTTTCCAGGAGCTGAACTGGAGGGAGAGGAAAACCTTGGAGATCCCGTCCAGGCACCGGCAGCAGCAGGAGAGGGAATCTGGCCCCAACTGTCCCTCAGGTAGCAGGATGGAAGGGTCTCTCCTCGCTCCCCTGGCATGGTGCTTGGACCCTTGACCAGGACTGGCAGTCCATTCTGTCTGAGCTGGGGGCTGCCGTGCTGCTCTTCCCTGTGCTTGATGCCCCTGACAGCAGGGTTTGTGCCCATCCTGGTACCCAGCTGGGCGTTCTGGCTGCAGCTCCCGTTACTGCAAGTGTGGGACGAGTAAAGTGCTGGTCCCCCTCACCCTCTGTGTGCCTGGAGGTAGGACTTGTCTCGTCTGGGGAGGTGGCACAGCTACTTCATCTGCGCCCCGGAAGGCTAGAGTCAGAAATGTTTAGATTTAATTCAATTTGCACATTTTTTCCCGCCTCTGCCATGAGCCACATCCTATACAAGAATCTCTCCGCTGTCTGTTCTGTGCAGCTGTAAAAAGAAAAAAAAAACTGGACTCAGTTAGCTGAGCAGGGCGTTGGGGAAACGCCACGGGAGAGGAGGTATTTCCTGTTGTAGGCTTTATATGCCACTTGGAGCATGGCAGTGCTTAAAAAGATCATGCGAGCCTGTGGCCCTTTGGCACCCATCCATACTTACGTGTTGGGAAGATCTTGATGCTGGAAACAGTGTTTGGTGTGTGCAGCAAGAACTCTTGACTGCTCTCGGAGACCTTAATTTTTCAAGTCATTTGGCAATGTGTGCCTGGATCCTAGGTCTGTGTATTTGAAATGAGAAGGTTTTTTTTTCCTGGAAGCCTCGAAGCAGTGACGTGGGGCAGGGGCTGGTGTTTGAAGAGAGTTTGGTGCTGCTGGTCTCGGTTGCTGCAGTCTGGTGCAGAATCTAGCTTTTCAGAGCGTTTAGGACTTTTGTTTTGCTAAAAAACCCCCAAACATTGGGAAGAAAAGATCTTTGTCTTTCAACTGTGAGCAAAGAAAGCTCGTAGTATATGTCCGAGAGCCACCAGAAATCCCCTAGCAACCAGGCTTAATGATCCTGATATTTCATTGCAGGATCATAGGAAATCAGAAACTCGTACAAAAGCACTGCTGTTATTCAAAATGCAAAGTTGCTGCTGGAGGCTTCTTTATAAAGAGGCCCAGAATGGGCAAACCCTATTCCTCTTGGTATTTATAGCTTGCCTTTTAGCCTGTGCACACATAGTCCTTGTGCTGTGAAACAACTGAGACCGGCTGAAAACTGGGTCCCGAGGTCAGAGTCTGAAACGGAGACTGGGGAGGTTTAGCTTGAGGCTACTGTGTTTGGAAAGTTGCAGCCTGAGCCAATGAACCGGGAAATTTTTGTAGGACTGTGGGGGAACTTTCCATCGCATGCTCCCTTCCTTGCCGGCGAGGAGATTTCACGTGGCTGTAGGTGAGCTGACTGGCATGATTAATCACCTTCAGCATCTGTTTCCTGTGCTGGGAAGTTTGGAGACAACGAAAGGAAAATTACAGGAGCTGGCCTGCTCTTTGCAAAGCCCAGGGCTGCAGTGTTTGTGGATGATGGGTCTTAAAACGCATCCGTCTCCCATATTGCGGCAGGTACACCAAGCAGCCGAAACGGACCGTGAGGCCGTTAAAAGCTGTAATCGTCTTGGCTGCGGTGGCCTGGAGGATCACGCCGGGGATACGTATCTGTCTGGCAGGCTGCATTGCTGAGCGTGGATGCAGTGGCCGAACGCTGCGTCCCTGCCCGTCCCCTCCAATCGTCACTTCTCCCCTGTCCCGGCGGGGAGGTGAGACCCTTTTGTAAGGCTGTATGAACGCTACGCAGCCTGGGCCGCGCTCGCCTCTGCGCCGGGGAGCAGCTCCGCAGGGAGCCTTGCCATTTCGAAGTGGGAAAGTGAGCAGTGCCTGTGCTTTGCGTGTGCTTTCCACTTGGGAGTGAAGAAGTGGCTTTTATCAGGATGGGCATGTGTCTTCGTGGCCTGGTTGCTGCTGGGGCTGTCTCTGGGGAGGCTGTCGATGAGGTTGATGGCAGAAGCAGCAGATTACACTTCGAGCACTAGTGCAGACTGCAGATGGAGCAGGACTCTGCTGTTGCTACAGAAACAGCCGTCGCACAGGATGCACAAAGGCAGCGTCCTTTGATAGAGACATGAAGTACTTAAGACACCTCAGCTTGACTGCTGCATCCATTTTTTGAGACAGCCTTTGGGAAGGACCTGGTGGGGAGAGCAGTCAGATGGCTACACGATGTGGTAGCGAGGGGTGATCTGGGGGCTTGGACGTTGCTTTTCTAGTAGAGAAAAAGCTAAGGGAGGTGTTATGGCAGTCTTTGTGTATGTAAGAAGCTGTTGCAGGCAAGAAGAGAGTGATCTGTTCTCCGTTTCAACTCTTGTACAACAAAAAGTAATGGGTGTGTTTCGTCAAGGGAGATTCCAGCAGGGAACTCTGTGCCTGCGGGGAGCATGCGGACAGATGGCCCCAAAGTGGCGTGGAGTCTCCATTGAGATGGTCAACAGACATCTGCTCTGAACGATGCTGTTTTGGGATGGATATTTGGGCTAGCTGGCCTGCTACTGTCCTGCCCAGCCCTGCTGTCTGTGATTCTGCACTTCGCAGAAGAAGGAACCTGGCAGCTCTTGTTTTACTTGTTTACGCAGGTAGTTTTGCAGAGAAGACTTATGAGTGGAGCTCAGAAGAGGAGGAGTCCGTGAGGAAAGCAGGACCAGTGCAAGTCCTCATTGTCAAAGATGACCATTCCTTTGAACTGGATGAAGCTGCATTGAACCGCATTCTCCTCTCGGAAGCTGTCAGAGATAAAGAGGTCGTGGCTGTGTCCGTTGCTGGAGCTTTTAGAAAAGGAAAATCATTCCTGATGGACTTCATGCTGCGGTACATGTACAATAAGGTATGGCTCCAGCTCAGGTGGCTCTTCCCAGGGGTATGGTGCTGCTGCTCATTGCTCCCATGTACTGCCCAGGGATGAGCTGGACAGGACACTGGCTTGGTGCTCTAAGGAATGCTCAAGCCTCTCATTAGCAGGAGCTTCACAAAATAAAATAGAGCAGATCTTTCCACAGCCCTGTGCACCAGTGAGTCTCTAGTGGACTCTTGATTTTGGAGCAGAGATGTTCACATTTGCTGCCCTGTAGGAAACCCCTCTTACAGGGCCTGCCCCCTTCCAGCACTGGGGTGGAGGCAGCACAGAGGAAAAGTGCAAAACCAAAGTGAGATGAGAACTCTAGCAGCTTCTTCTGTTCCTACTTACAGGAAGCAGTGGACTGGGTTGGAGATTACAATGAGCCTCTGACTGGTTTCTCCTGGAGGGGAGGCTCTGAGCGGGAGACGACCGGCATTCAGATATGGAGCGAGGTTTTCCTGGTGGACAAGCCTGATGGTAAAAAGGTATGTGCTTCTCTTTTGCATAGTTGTCTCTTGCTGGTCAGCTCATTTTTCTCATCCAGCTTTGGTAAGATTCTCCTGCCTTGTCTTATGTGCCTTAAATGCCTGTGCAAGTTTAGAGAAGGTCTTCAAATAGCATATCCCTAATTTAGCATGAATGGGTTTAATGCAGTGAGTTGATATGATGTCTAGGTGTCCGTCGAACTCTGGGCATCCCCGAGTTTATTTCTCTGCTATTCCCAGGGATCTTGAATCTGAGGACCTTGCAAACTACTCCCCTTTCCTAGAGCAGTAACTGTAAAATGGAGTGTCTTCATTTAGGGTGGTCAAACAAAATGCAAACTGGATTTTGGGGCATCCTGCAAATTCAACTTATAGGCAGGAATTTCTGTATTTATCTACTCTTCAACGAAGAGCCCAACACCAAAGTGACACTGAATTATTCATGGTGTAATTTCTAATACTGGCTGAATGTGTTTTGGGTTAAGGAGGTGTGATACGCTGCCTTGTTTGGCTTCTGTGACATGAAGCTAATGCAGACTCCGGAAAAGACCCATCTGCACTGACGACGAGTATTTCAGGAGCAAAGCAGCTCCCTCCTCTGCGTTGCATAGCATTCATTTTGCTGCCTGCTGGGGTCATCACGCCGTCAAGAGGGACTGGGTCTGCTCTTTTCCTTTGTCCTCCACCAATTATAGGTCTGAGGCAGAAGCGGTGAGATTCCCAGCACAACGATGCAGCTGATATTCACTCCCTCACCCCTTTGGCATGTGAGAGTGATTTTGCTGAACGGGTGCATCCAAGCTGACGTGGAGCTCTCTGCCTCTCAGGTTGCAGTGTTGCTGATGGACACGCAGGGGACCTTTGACAGCCAGTCCACCCTGCGGGATTCGGCCACCGTGTTTGCCCTTAGCACAATGATCAGCTCGATACAGGTAAGAAGGGGGATGTCTCCAGGAGTCAGTTCCTAGAAGGTGGTGGCAAAAACCCAGTAGCTTGGCACCAGCCTAACTCAGCAGCTAGCCAGGGCCTTTGGTGGAAGAGACAAAGGCCATCATCTTGGCTGCACTGAGTGCAGGATTCATACACGACTCCATTGTTGCAGGGAACAGTCTCATCTCCTCATCTCACCCCACAAGCAGGGCCAGCAGCAGATGCACCCCTTTGCCTCCAGCTACCAAAGAGGACCTTAGTATGGAGAACTGGGTGTGCTTTCGACTCTGCTGCTGGAGAAACCTCTAGGCTGGAGGTGTTCACGCACCAGTCACTGCATAGCCTGTTAGGGCTTCCCTTCCTACCTGCCGGCCTTTGCTCTTGGAGGACAGCATGAAAGGGGTGGAAACTGTGTCTTGGTACAGAGCTCAGCACATCATAAAAATGGAGGAGAAGAAGGAACATTATTTGGACCTGACAGGCTTCCAGGCTGGCGCATGACAGCCCCTGGTGCTCCCATGCTGGAGTGTTTTGCTGCACAGGGAGCGGCAGTGCCTGTCTGCCTGACAGTGTGAGTCTGTCCAGCTGTACAGCTGTGCTTGGGGCCTCTCTTGTACCAGCACCATGGGCCAGCTGGGACTTCGGCTGTGTCCCCATGGTCATGTTGTAGGCTTTAACCACACTGGCCCACATGTTGGCCCGAAGGACAGGCCATTCTGAGTGCTCTGAAGTTTTTGTTTTTAAATGCAGGTTTATAACTTGTCCCAGAATGTGCAGGAGGATGATCTGCAGCACTTGCAGGTAAGACCCTTGTCCCTGCTGCTCTGTAGCACTGGGGTGCCTGTATTACACTCTGCGCTCTGGGAAGGCATTTTTACATTTGGAGCCACAAAAGGGTTTTTCAGTTTCCCAGCTCTCATATCGGTTCATGGGCATGGGGGAACAGCCCCTTGGGTTGAAACCTGTCTTGCCTACGCTCTCATAGCGTGGCTTCTTGGGGGCCTGGATCCTTTGGCAGGGCAGTCAGTGGGACACTTGCCCAGAGGGACCGTTCCTGTCTCTGGGACGTGTGCCTTCCTCAAGGCTGATCACCTGTGGAGCTGGAAATGGCCCACAGCTGTGCTTCGTGCTGCAGTGGGTGTCTGGAGGGCACAGAGAGGCTGAAGGAACCAAGGCTGTTAAGTCGAGACAAAAGTGGCCGAGAGGGGAGGCGGTGATGGTCTTCAGCTGTGTATGAGGTTGCTACAAAGTCGGGAGCTGTATCTCTTATGTCCACAGTGCACGGGACAAGTTGTCATGGGTGGTGCTGCAGCGAGAGAGAGTTAAGTTGACTTCATAATGGTGAGGTTAGAGGAGCATCAAACAGACTGCGTAGGGTAGAGACCATCACAGACCATCTCGGTGTGGAGCACCCATCACAAATCTTCCAAGAACAGTTTGGATACAGCTCATGTTGGCCTGTGTGTCTTTCCATGGGATTATACTGGGGTTCCTTGAGGAGCAAGTCCTGTCAGAGGCCAGGACTGACCCATGGGGCTGGAAACATGCAATGACTTGCAGCAAGGGGCTAAAGTGGCTGGTAATAGGGAGGGATCCAGGGTAGTTAACCATATATTGGCTGTACTCCTGCTGCTGCAAGCATCCGTCCGCTGCTCCATGAGTAGGGGCAGTAAAAGTGCTCGTTTGACTTAGGTGATGGGGAAGCTGAAGGTAGAAGTTGCACTGTTCATGCTGTAGGACGGGATCTTTGGGTTGTTAGGAGAAGCCCAAAGAAATTTTTATAAGCCTGGATATAGACATCCGGTACTGGCTCAGTGCAAGTGACCCCTAAGGGTAATTACCAGCCCTGACTGTTGGACATAAGCAGCTAATAGGATTTTTGTGGCACGTGTGTCCTGCCCGTTTCCTGGTGTTACCTCTAGCTTTCTCTTCTGTTTAGGTGGTTGATTGTTTGGTTAGGTAGGTCTTTCCAGGAGCTTAAGAAAAAGGAAAGAAAAGCAAAAGTCCAGCTGGAAAAATCAGCATTTGAAGAGTTTGATATAATTTCACTCAGTAAATATTTTTTAAAATAACGCCTTTTTAACATTGAACTTATCCAAGGCAACTCTGATTTTTCAGTTCGGATTTTAAGCCCTTATTGTTTAACATGTTGACCCATTTATAGGCATCTGTGAAATACATTATTGTGCCTTCAGTTAGAAATTACAGTCCAGAGAGACTGGAGAGCCTTCAAATCTGGCTGGTAGGCTGATCTTGCAGTCTTTGCACAGTGGGGGTTTGCAGGGAAAGTACTTATTTCTGAATTAATTTCCGCTTCTTTTGGAGTGTTTAAAGAAAGCGGGGCTCCAGCAAGTCCCCTGTAGCATGTGAAGTTTCTGGTTGGTATGAAAGCAACAGCAAGCAGCTGATTTGAGCCATTCTTCACAGATTTGGCAGCCAAAAATACCAGGCTGATATCTTTTCACGTGAGGGCTCACCACGGTGATTGTAACAGCTCCATGTGCCTCTCAGATGTGAACTGAAAGCAACAGCCAGCCAGTTTCTGCCCCAGCTCTGCAAATGGTGCTGTTAGCCCCGAGTCAACAACCGTCCCTTGCTGCTGTGCCGGTGACCCACAGCCGTCTGTGTGTCCGTGCAGACTGGGAAGCTAACAGTCCTGTTGTTCTTTGCTTCTCTTTCCAGCTTTTCACTGAGTACGGCCGGCTGGCCATGGAGGAGACGTTCCTGAAACCTTTCCAGGTGAGTCCGAGGGTCCTGGCCAGGGCATGTCCCCTCTACCAGAGGTGGCTTGGCCCCAAGCCGGTTGGCTTCACCACGAGGTGTCACTGCAGTTTGCAGGACGGGGAGGAGGTGGAGGTGCCTGGGGAGTGGCTCAGCTGTGAAGGAAAGGCTTTGCGCTTCCTTGCCCCCGAAGAGGCTTCCAAATACATCCAACATCCCTCTTTCTTTCCTCTCTGAACCCTTGGCATCCTGAGAGCTCTGCCCTGTCCTGCCAGATGTCCTGCCAGGCTTGGAAAGCAGTCAGGCTTTGCAGCAGGTTTGTCATGCCGTCTTTCCTGGGGATCCTGCCCAGCCTTCGCTCTGAGAGGTTTGAACCCGCCTGCCCTGGGAATCCCTGCTCCTGGCGAAATGAAAGGACGGGGATTAGATCAGAGCTCTCGCAAGTGACAGCAGAGCTGTGGGAAGGCTCAGTTTAAGTGGGGTTTTAACTTCAAATAAGGGACATCTGTTCACCCTGCTGCTTCCCAACCTGTGAAAAGCTGGCATTCAAAAAAGGGAGAGTGTCGGGCAGACAAGAGCTTGCTTTGGACACCAGAGCGTGAGCAGCTGGGAGGATGGTGGGCTGTGACAGCCCCTTCCAGTAGGAAAGTGAGTATGAACAAAAAGAGACAAAGCAGAAGGTGGGGGGGCAGAAGGAACCCATGACATGGCTGTGGCAGCTCACTGAAGCTCCAGTCCTTTAACAGATCAGGTAGTGATTTCATATGGCTTTTGATCACGGCCACAACCGAATCCTGTGCACCTGGGAGGCTGGGAAGGTGGTTGAAGAGGTTTCAAAGCTCTCGGGGGGGCTGTGGGACCAGGTGTAAGGCAGGGAGCGGGGCTAAGGCGATGGGAGGGAGTGATGCTGTGAGGTCCTTACGCCGCTTGTGGAGCTGTCAGGCTCCTTGCATGATCAGGGTGGTAAACAGAAGGAAAACACCTTCTGTGGGGCTTTAGCCTTATCCTGTACAAGTTGTTCCGTTAATCAGACGCTCTTTGGCCGTCCCAATGGCTTGGTGCAGCTTCCAGCTGGCATCCACCATAGGTTAGGTGGTAGCTGGATGGGAGTTTGTGAGCTTCCCAAAGTGGAAAACAGAAGAGAGCAAAACATGCTGTAAAAACACAAATAGTAATTGGGAATGGGTTACAGTTATTTTACTTTTGCCTTCCAACATAAAAAGAGAATTGCTGTTCTCACCACCATCCTGGAAGGCCTCAGGGGTTTATAGGGTGTCTGTGGTCAGGAAGTGGAAATAAAATTAAAAGGTTAAAAAATACAACAAATGGACAAATTGAGATTTTGTGGAGCTTTGAGGGTATATTGGATGCTGGCATGCGTGAATGACTAATAATGTGAAAACTACTAGTAAAAATATATGACTTATAGTAGCAAGAGCTAGGAGAAAATTGTAACATGGTACAGAAAAAAGCCAGACATTAAATAAATACTCCTGTTCCTTATTTAAAAGCTATTGGGGTAATGTAGCCAAATATTTCAGTGAAAGTGAAATACTTGTTATTCCCACCAGTAAAAAGGAGGCTATAAGGGGAAGCTTTTAAATATGCTTAAGTCATTAGGACTGGATAATAGGCTCTGATTTTACCAAAGACCGTAATTGCTGTCAAGTCACACAGTTTTGTGGATAGCAAGACTTGCAAACAATCCCATTATCAATTTTTAAAAGACCACGAGTTCGGCTGACAGAGGTAACTATCACCATGGTGTGTTGCCTTCTGGAAGCCTTATCTCCCTACGATGCTGATTAAAAGCAAGTGAACAACATACCAAGTCAGCATTGTCTGGTTTAATCCATTGTAAATGGATTAAAAACTCATTAACTGATAGATGACAGAGCACGCTGATCTAATTTCAATAGGGAATCATCATCTTTCAGAAGTGTTTCCTTGGGGGCCCCCCCAGGGCCTCTGTGATTCACTGGCATCTTCATTAATGGTCTGGGGAAAAATATCAAACGACTGGTGGTGACCCTTGGGGACGTGATAAAATTTGGTAGAAGGATCGATGGTGACGTGGCCAGGTAAGCAATGGGGAGCTCCTGTCCACATGGCAAAGTGGGCTTGTGCCCGCAAAGCACGTTTCTAAAGACAGCCAAGCGTTGTAATTAGAAAGCAGGAGAAGGGCGATGGTAAATAAACTCCTTTTCTGGTGGGGAGACGAGGCAGCGTGCAGCTCAGTGTCTGCAGCTGAGACTGGACAAAGTCAGAATAGCAACGAGGAGGACGCTGTTAATGAGGGGGCAATTTAATGGTTAGGGTGGCTTAACGAGAGATGCGGGGTCTTCTCTGGTAGCTGCAGGCATCGAGTGGAGACAGCTCGCTCTGCAGCAGAGAGTCTACAGCTTGAGGTTCTTGGGTGAGGTTCCAGGCCTGTAAGTCAAACAAGCTGAACCTCTTTTGTCCTTAAAATTCACAAATCTCTAACGGAGGCTTTGGAAAACAGGTCCTATAGGAAAATGCTGCCAAGCAGGATGTGCAGAGAAAGTGTCGATAGCGAGGCAGTTGCATTGATCCTGCTGGAAGGGAAGTAATACTTGGCAGTGGAAAATTAACATTTCCCCCCGGCACCCTCCTCTCGGCAGCCTGTCCTCGCACTTGCGCTGAAGCGTAACCGCCTGCGCCGCCGCACGCGCCCTCGCCGGACGCCGCTCCTGGTCGTGATGCCTTAGCAGAGGCTGCGCGCCGTGCCTGGCAGTTTGCTGGGCTGGAGGGGCTGAGGGTGGCTCCGAGGCATGGTAAAGACGGCACGGCTGGAACACTTCTGCTTAAGAAAAAAAGAGAATCATTCCGGAGTCAAACAGTGCAGGGCATGCGTAATGTGTTTGTGGAAGAGTCCTAAACATGGACATGTCTCCTAAGTATCTCATGGTCTTAGAAAGAACAGCGTGTCCTGAAACGGCTAACTGGGTGCAGTTGCTGTGGCTTGTCATGAAGTTAGGAATGGCCAACTCACTCTTCTTTTTTTTTTTTCTCCTTTTCTTGATGTTTTATGGAAGAGAAATAAGGAGAGGAAATATTTTCCCTGCCTCCATTAAATCTTTGTTCTAAACATAGACAATTTTTAGGGAAATTCCAACGAAATGGATTCCACTTGCTGACCTGCTTATTCATGTGCATGAAAGAAACCCTGGCAAGCCCTGCCAGCCCCTCCTGGGCTTCGGCGTTCAGGGTTTCCCCCTCCAAACTGGGTATTCATTACACAGGACGTAGGTCCTTTGCATATGAGACACTGGAGACAGGATTTTTTTCTGAAAACGTTTTTATTTTTAAAGATTAAAAGTTGACTGTACTGGTACTTACTTATTTATTGCATAGGAACTTCGAGTGCCTCAATAAAGATTACAAAAGCCAGTGATTTCTTATTCACCCTCGTTATCCTGCATCTGCTTCTCATTAAAAGTCTGTCTGGAAGGCTGCCCAGTGAAAAAGGCTGAAAAAATGAGCCTGTAAAATTCCCATAGGATGGAGCTAAATGCGGCTGGAATTAGGGAGCTCGTTGCCTTTTGTCCTGGTTAGCAAAAATCCCTTTCTTGCTTTGCAGTTTAAATGATTGATGCTATTCTTCAAGCTAGGGAATCAAACTGCCACCCAGCAGACCCATACAGCAGTCCTGGGTTTGCTCCCTCCTTCCCCTTACGAGGGGACAGCCACACGTGCAGCAAGTCTGCGCGGTCTCAGCGCCACGCGGGGGCGGCCCTGCACAGAGGGGGATTTCCACCAGTAAAGGCACAAGGTGCTGCTGGAGCTGGGCACAGACTCGGGGCCGGACCTTGCGGCACGAGGGTGGGGGCGAGGGTGCCGAGGGGTCCTGCCCCCGCTGCGGGCTCCGACGGCTGAGCGCCATCGGCTGCTGTGAGCGGTGGCAGTGGGGAAGGAGGCCCTGAGCTCCCT